ATATATATATACACTGTAAAAAATTTCAAGCTGTTTCAACTAATTATTATTTAGTAACTAGTTCTACAGAAATTTTACGTTCAGTCAATTTCTCTCTTCAAAGTATTGCCTGAATTGTTATTTTTTTAGTTGGCTCAACCTAGAACTAGTTTTATAGTCCATTCAACTAAAATGTTTTAATTTAACATTTTTAAAATTAACATTTACAAATATTACTACTGTTCACAATTACATCTTTAAATTGAGGCAGAAGTCAGATAAAAAATGAACCAGGTGTTGGTTGTTACAGTAACCAGTTGTTACTGTTTAACATTTAAAAGTAGCATAACATTTAACCCTCAGGTTGTGTTCGGGTCAATTTGACCCGGAGAGAATTTTCTTTCTCCCGAAAATGTTACTTAATGTTATCGCATTGGACTATGATTTACTGACTTTGTTTACACAGGGTATAACTACTTCCACTGCAAAAATGGTTACTTTTCGTTAAACTTTAAAAAAAAATGTTATTAAACCTTGTTACATTTGTGGTGTTCCCGGTCAAAAATGACCGGCCTACAAACAATAAGCCTATAAATATCTTGTTATGCACTATTATCACCTAATATTGGTATCAATCTTTTTGTCACCTTGTTTTCTTTCAATTAGGACTGGTTTTGTGTTTATTTTTGGAACTGATGTATCGTAGGCCTCATTAATCTCAGTTTTTGAGTGAAAAAAGCATTATTTGTGGCTTTGGATCATGAGCTGTTCCCAGCCTTCTCCATTCTGTTTCTCAGTATGTACCAAACTGTTGATTTGACAGATTAAACTGTAGAAACCTGCTATCTCTCTGATGGATTTGTTTTGTTTTTGAAGCCTAACAATTGTCTGTTTCACCTGCATGGAGAGCTCCTTTAACCGCATGATGTGGATTCACAGCAACAGCTTCCAAATGCAAATGGCACACCTAGAATCAACTCCAGACCTTTTACCTGCTTAATTGATGTAGAAATAACAAAAGAATAGCCCACATCTGTCCATGAAACAGCTTATGAGTCAACTGTCCAATTACTTATAGTCCCTTGAAAAAGGGGGGAGGGTACATAATAAAGAGTTGTAATTCCTTAACCTTTCCTCCAATTGTGATGAGATTTTACATTATATAACTTTAACTTGAATATGTTTTGGTCAACAGCTAAAATAATTTATAT